CCCCCCCCCCCCGCCCCTGGGCTCCCTGGGGACAAATGCTGCAAAGAGACTTCGTTTCCGCCGACCGGAGGCCCTCTCCGTAGGGCTTCCCCTGCATTCACCGTCCAGTTCGCCACCTGTCCAGCACTTACTGAGTGTGGTCAGCGCCCAACGACAGGAGGCCACTTTCACAGAGCTCACGGCACACTGTCTGCACAACACCAAGTGCACAAGTGTTTTCTGGTGGAGGGTGACGGGAGTGACGGGAGGAGGGCCGGGGGGCCTGGCTGGCGGGGGGACACGGGTGGTGTGGAAAGAGCTCCGCGGCCAGAGGTGAGGAAGGAGAGGCAAGGCCGCAGGGGCGCAGCGGGTGTACGTGTGGGGGTTTATTCCCCGTGCGCTGCAGGCTCCGTGCAGAGATATGCACGGACGGCTGAGCTCGTGGCTGCAGGTCAGGGGTTGGTTCCCTCAGGATCGTCGGCCTACATCTTCACAGGCGTCAGTCACCCTGCACAGCAGCCAGCCTAACCGGAGATTCGTCAAGCAGAGCCACCGCCGAGAAGGGCAGGTGGGGAGCCCCGGAGGCCCTGCGCCAGCCAGTGGGAGCCCCATTTGGGACACTGAAGGCTTCTCCAAGGAGACGCGCAAGGAAGCTGGTGATTTGCAGGAAGGGGCCCGTTGGCTCACCTCCTAGGAGATGAGAAAGTCTGACTTCCAAGGCCTGTCAGTGCCACGCGGTTCTCTACGAGTGTCCCGGGGGGCTCCCCATGGCTTCACCGCGGGCCCCGGAGGGTGCTGGTTACACTTGCCTTGGAAGCTGCAATCCAGCGTCTCTGGCCCAGGTTTGGAGCTGATGGGGTGACACTCCCACCGGAGGTCGCTGCCGCCCTCCCCTCCCCCCTCCAGGTCATGCTGGAAGGAGGGTCCCTAATTTGCTCTGGGCAAAGACACACACACACACATGCGCACGCACACGCACGTGCACACACACACACAGCACGTCTGACACAGAAGGACCAACTTCCACCTGCTCAGTGTGCAGAGAGGCGGGGTGCCATCACCTCATCCCAGGAGCCTGGGTTTTTATGCCTCTTATAAATTTGCTGATTTGCGGTTGAATTTCCCAGGCACGCCTGGGAACGTAGCAGGCAATTTAAAGCCGAAAGGATCCCTTTCGGCTAATGTGAGGCTTCCATTTATTGTCGGGAGGAAGGGGGACGGGGATTCGCAGATTCCACAGTGCGCTGGCTCTCTGACGGCGGGGTGCGGGGACCCCTCCCTGTGCCCCCCCACCCCGGCCCCAGGCACCTCCCTCGGCTTCACCAGGCAGGCGGCACCAGGCCGGGCTGGGCAGCTAGGTTCCCACCTCTCTTTCCTCCGCCTTCCCGTCTTCTCTCCTCCTTGGCGGGGAGGATGGAGTTTTGCATAAACATGATGCTCCCGCTTCCAGCTTTCTCTGTGGATCCGAAGCACACGCTCCCTTTGTCTGTAATCAGGAATTCTAGTTGCCTAGAAATATTTAAATAGAACACTCTCTCATCTTCCAGTGACTTCATACAAGTTCCAGAAATAAAACCTGAACCGGAGCCTTCTTTGTCATTCCTGCCTCGAAGCTCCGATGGCCCTGGCCCGTTCAAGGCAACACCCTTTCCAAATGCAGCCAGGTGCCCCGGGGGGGGGGGGGGGGGCGCGGGCAAGTGAACTCCAGAGCCTAGAGCCTAGGGTGGTGGAGGAGGGGTCCCACAGAAGCGCACAGCAGGCCGGGCAGCCCGTGGGTTCCGGTGCGGCCCCCACGGCAAGTTGGGGACCCCAGACAGCCGCGGCCACCGGGTCATCGGCAGGTATCCCTGCGTCCCTCTGCCCTCCACCCTGAGTCTCCCGGCTCTGCAGGCAGACGTGCCGTGGGCATGCGCTCTGGCCGCGGGCGTGCAGAGAAAGGCCCACTCCAGGTAAGGCCTCTTCTGGCTTCTACATCCTGGCACGCGCTCGTGGCTGTGGGACCCCAGGTTGGAAGCTGTGGGGGAGATGCCCAGTAGCAAGAGAGAGGGTGCTGGAACCCCTCTTCCTTGCAACCCCCCCTCCCTGGGATCTCCCCGCCCCCCTCCATCCATGAGACTCCCTCCCACCTCGCTGGGGGAGGGGAGCATTAGCACGCGGGAGGAAACGCGTTCCCGGGGAAACGATCAACGAAAACACGCTCCGATTATGCGTGCCTCACAGACGGACAGGATCTGCTGAGATCGTAAGTACACGCTCACACTCCTACGAACCGCACGCTCACGCAGCCCCGCACGCACACGTGTGCACACGCGCTCACACACACTCGGACGTGTGCGCACACGCACGGCACTGCTTTCGTCACGACAGCACGACTCTGCGGGATTCTCTGTGCCTGCTCTGTTCCCAGTGCTTTTCCCGCCTGAACCCGCTCGCTCCCGGCACACACGGCCGCGTCGCACGCGGGCTCCCACGCACAGTGAGCGTGACGGCTGCGAGGCGCGGTGGCTTACTCGCCTTCCGAGGCCGCTCGATGGTGCTGAGCAAATCGTCTGGCCGGCGACTTCCTTCGCGGCCCAGAAGCTCCGAGTCTGGCTTCTGTCATCTTGTTCCAAACAGCGCTCCTGCGTGGCAGCCTGGGCCTCTGGATGGGAAATCTGTTGCTCCTTTGTTAGCCCTCACAACGGGCCAAACAGCGCTGCTCTGCCGTGGACAGCTGGCGCCGACCCCGCGGGGGACATGTGCTGGCCTGGCTCGCCCACACCCCTGGCTCCCCCAGGCTGGCCCTGCCCTCTCCCGCCCCCAGGAAACCAGAGACCCCATTCCCACGGCCCCGGGGGCGCAAGGTGGACCCTCAGACCCCTCCCCACTTGCTGGGAAGGGCAGACACTCTTGGTTGCGGTCGCCAAACTGCTTCCGGGGACGCCGCTCTGAGCCCTGAGTCCCGGGGCGCCTGGAGCCTGCCCACCCCCCAACCCCCCCACCCCCTGCCCCCCCAGTCTGCTCTCAGTCTGGTTCCGCTGGGCTTTCCGGCACCTGCAGTCGAGCACTTCAGACGTCACTTGCGGGTTCTGGTGCCCCTCGACCCCCCGGCCCTTTCTGTGTGAAGTGGGGGGAGGGCAGGGCAGCCGCCAGGCAGGCCCGCGGTTTCACGCACCCGGTCGGGAAATGAGGACAGAGGCACGCACCGACGGACTCCCGCCTTCTCTGGAAATTTCAAGGCTTGATGATGAAGACATTAGCTCCCGAGACACTTCGGTCTGCCGGGAGCGGAGTGGGGATAATTTGCTTCTTCCTGTGACGGCTGACGATTAGCTTCATAGCAGCACGTCACCGTCTCCGACTGACTTGCCTGCACAGCCGGGTCACTCGAGAAAAACACACTTCTGAGAAAATACAGTTGGAGGCTCCCAGTGCTATGTCCTCCCCAGTTCACCAGCAGCTCTGCCCTCGGCGTCCACCTGAGCCCCCGAGCAGCCCGGTCCCGGTCTCTCCCGGGGCCACAGGGAGCCGTCCTCCCCGCGGGGCCCTGTCCTCCCCAGGCTCAAGGGGGGGCTGCCTCCTCCCGGGGCCCGCCCTCATGCACCTGGAGGGCACCTGGCGGCCAGTCTCTGCTGGGTCTCCCCTCAGTAAGCTAAGGGGAGTCACCCCGAGGCCAACAGTCCACCCCCTTCCTGACCCGCCCGCACACTGACAAGGAGTATCTGACTTTGTCGGAAAATGCTAATAAAGGAATTTGGGGGAAGAGGGCAAGCCAGGGCACGAAGCGCATTGCAGGTCAGGGAGGCCGGCGAGGGGCACCGTCCTCGCGTTTCTACACACTTAGCAGAACCACGTCTGGGGTCGAATAAAACTATTGAAGGGCAG